GCAATATAAGACATACACTTTTGAATATTGTCTCCTCTATATTGCCCAACAATAAAGACGTAACTCCTGGGCCCCAACTTTTAGTACCATTTTTCCACACATATGTGCTTGCTTGGCTTGACTTGGTTTGACTTGGCACATCAGCCCAGTGCATCTCCACTCCTTGAAGGTGTGTCTTTAACTGATGATGGCTTCCTCAAAAACAAAAGCAAATACAAGGTTTTTCTTGTTTCCTATTCTTTTTTTTATCTTAATTGGGTCTTGACACTGAAGTTGCAAGCCATTATTGCAATGTTTATTGATGATAAAAACAAAGTTATCTATTTTGACCGCCTGACTTATCCTTAATGAGAAACATTTGATATCCAGCAGTTGAGAGAGCTAATGAGTGAACAACAAAGGAAACAAACTAATGTGTTTTGATTCAGTGCTGTTACTTGGTAAAGTGTAAGTAAATAAAACACTCAGCCACATCACTTGAGTTTCGAGCTCCTTTTGTCTCCTTTGTGTCCTTTCATTAAAACATGAGTTGCACTAAAACAAATTGCTAGGAAGCCTAGCCTTCAACAGTCTTCAACAATCCTCATGGTTCTCCAGAAAGACTCTGCAAAGGGACTATTTGTTTTTCATTTAGTTCCTGGGGTTCCTCAGTACCATGACCTATTTGGATGAAAAGAGCTATTACTGAGTAAAGTACGTTATGGCTACAAATACTAAAACAGGTTGCAAAACAAACAGAATTGTCCTTTAAAGGAGCCCGAAGACTCCAATAAATGGCTGTTTTCTAGTGTCATCAGCTCATTAGTGTTGTGCCCTTTCAGCTGTGCAGGCTTCCACTGAACGCCATCGCTGGCTGACAAAAACAAAAGGTCGGGAAAGTAAGTAATGCAGGCAAAAAGAAGACAACACACACATACATACACACACACACACACACACACACACACACACTTACTAACAGGTGTGTTATGAGGTGACACAGCGTCTCTTACCTCCAGAGGAAGGGGTTTCCTCGCTGGTGAACAGGGGCTGACAGAGGGCCCTCAGAGGAACAGAGGGAGGGAGAGGAGGAGGAGGACAAGGGGGAGAGGGTGATGACGGGGGGCTGAACGACGGAGGGGTGAAAGGAAGTGGGGGACAGCAGGTGCTGGAGGAGGCTGCTGTTGCCGTGGCAACGCAGCTGAGCCGGCGACCAGATTCTGCCAACAGAGGAGGGAGGGGAGGAGTGGAAGAAAGGATGAAGAGAGGAGGAAGAGAGCAGGGCAAAGATAGAGGGATATGTGATGAGGACTGCTCAATGGCACGTGTGTGTGTGTGTGTGTGTGTGTGTGTGTGTGTGCATGCGTGCGTGCGTGTGTGTGTTGTGACATTAACATCAACGCTTAACTGTATTTAAAAAGCTGTTAAGAACTCTGAGTGGAAGAATCGATCTGTTCTTTAACCTTCATCTGACTAACGTGACTTTAATAGTTTTGACTACAATGATTGGGATTGTTCAACCTAAAATAATCAATACCTGTCAAAAGGTACCAGAAACCAAAGTAATGCCTTAAAGGGAGCTTTGTAACTTCTGCTAAACAGCAGCCACTGTGACCCAAAGTGGAAATTATACTAAAACTATATACAAGGACAAAAGGGTCATGAAGTCAGTTATTTCAATTGCACAAAGATATCACTGTAAAATCTGTTAATATTAGCCACCAAAAAGTAGTGGTCATACCAGACCAACTGAGGCTTTAAAAGCAAATTCCTGAATGTATTGAGCACAGGGTCAGTTTAATCAGTTTCACTGTATTAATTTCTTAAAAAAAGTTGAATACACTCACTTCTAAAAAACACCAAACCAAATCAGTTGGTTTAGAACGGTGTAGAAAAGTCAGCAAATCCTGATATTCCAGGACTGGTCTGTAGCTTGTAGGTGTCTTGCCTAGGTGTCAAGCCATTCTCCATCTCCTCCACCTCTCCATGACAAAGTAAGCTATGTCACTTTAGAAATGTTGATAAGATACGTATGAAACGTGCAAATGTAAGGTATTTGTGCTTGCAAAAACATACAATGCAAACAATTTTGTCAGGCAACTGGGCTGCATATTTGTTTTTCATTACACAAAATAAGTCCTGCCATGCTTTAGCACTGCACTATTGCATCAAGACACTGGTTGGTCAGATAAGAAGTTCAGCTCTTGGCTTGGCTGATTTTAAATGTTTCAGTCATGTCTGACATGATTTAGAATTTCTGGTAGAGGCTTTACTAGACAGTGATGGACAGTAGTGACTTCATACTGTTTGAGCACAACACCCCAGAGCTGAGTATTTGAGGCAGCAGTAGTGCCAGGCTCTACCCACTGATCCGTAGTGTCTCTGCCTGCCTGCAGATGTCCCCTCACAGCAGGTAGGAAGCCTCGTGCACAAACTTATCACAGAAACAGCCGGCCAGAAAGTTCTGGATCAACTTCACAGAGCTCAGTCAGGACTCCACCAGATGTTTTCAAGTACTCAGTCACATTATAACTTATGTTTAATAATGCTGTGCTTTACCTGTCATACAAAGCTGCATATGAATAAAACTTTTACATTTACTTCTACACAGTCAAGAAACATCTTCCTGTGGCTCTACAGAGTTCAGAAGGCAGTTGGCACAAATCTGCAGGGCAGGAGGACCGTATGGTGGTGGACCCATGTCCCCTCCCCCCCGCTGGGTGGGACAGAATGGGTGAGACCACCTGCTGAGAAGTCAAGGGCTACACACATTGAAATATATGCACTGTTCCCCCTGCATAATGTAGGGCCATCTGTGGTGCACCGCCACAGTTTCAGCGTGGCCGTCGCAAAATACTAAATTAAAGACAATTTCATAATGAAATGCTGGATGATAACTCTAACTCTCAGGCCATCTGTCACATGAGTGGCGGCTGTCACAGATATTGGTGGAGAGCACTCTGACCAGGTCAAAAGGTCGAGTGTTTTAGAGATGAGCTCATGTAACAACGTCAAATCAGGATCCAGAACCCAGGCCGCATAATTTATATAAATGCAGCCAACTCCTAGGCTTGCTGTGTAGAAGTGATTCTTTTTCTATAGGGTTTATCGAAACACTTAATTTACTTCATACTCAGAGATCTGATTTTAATATAACTATTGTGTTTGTAAGGGACCTTTATTTCTAGCAGACCAACTAAAGACTGTACTCTGAATGGAACTGAAATGACCACATATCTTGTGCAATCCCCCTTTTGAGGATTGGTTCATTTAACTATAAACTGTACTCAATACACTTTTATTTGACTATCTAAATTTGGTTAAATATCATTATTTGAATATTTGAATTAAAATTATCAACGTACTAATGTCCCCACAGATGACCCTCACAGCTCGGGGGAGCACTGACATGCATACACGTGTTTGAAAGGGAGAGAGCCTCGTCACTGGACACTGTTGAGCCGATGAAGAACTTCCTTCCCTGCTGGTATCTCACTCTGATACCTTCTCATGTTTCTGACTCCTTGTGTATTTCCGTTCCATCGTCTCAGTATGTATGTACACTATGCATGTACTGTATTACGAATGTATGTATGTAATGTAAGCCACACTTGTCCCCCACCATTCACAGCCGTATATCTAGCAATAGTGACGCAGCTACAGAAACAATATTGAGCATGAGTTGAGTATTTATTTCTGGGGTGGGTTTTCTTTCTCCCTTTCTTTCAACACAAATCTGTCATGTCTACTTTTTTAATGGTACGTATTAGAGTTTATAGACAGTAAATTTAAATTCACAGCTACTAACAAAAACATACAGATCCTGACAGGAGAGAGTGCAGACACAGAATATGTTTACATCCAAATGTTTTCCAATTTCACGCGGCTAGTGCTTTGTTAATATTCTGAGGATGATGCAGTATGATTAGAACAACAAACGGTGCCAAAACATTTAAACCAAATAAATTGTAGTTAATAAGTTATGTTAATTCATGTTTACCACTAAAGGAACTGTAATAACTTTGGGGATATCCTGCCTTTCTTTCTGGCATGCCACCCTTGCAGGCAGTGTTGGAGAGTAGCTAACATAGTTTCTCCAGCACTGCTTGCACAGCATATGGACGTTAGTCACATTAGGAGATCACATGATCAGACGAAAATCCATCTTGTCAGGCTTCCAATAGTGCATTTGTGTTCAAAGCACAATGGTTTGGACCAATTAGCATCCTAGCTACTGGGAGCTACAAGTGTGGTTTAGGTGTGTGTGTGGCATCACAAAGAGGGGACTGATCGCTAAAAACAACAATAGCATGTCCTGAAGAGGTTAACATAGATGCTGCAGTAGCATCAGTTATATCACAACTGGAGAGTATTTATTCACTGAAAGAAGATAGAAAAAACAGCATTGAAGGGTTTCCTACGTGGAAAAGATGTTTTTGCTCTTCAGTGATGGCGACAGTGATCAATGGTTCATCCAATCCCCTGCCAAGTATTTTTTTGGAAGTGCCTGCCCTTTTGCTTTTCCAAACTGTTTCCAATGACGGTTTCTCAGATGGTTCTGTGTAACAAACTATCTGGCGGTCAGATTACCAACCATCAGTTCAAAATTTCAGTTTCTCCAATACTTTTTGACCCATTATGCGCAAAGCTAGCTGTAATTTGTGTTTTATGCTAATTACCAAATGTTAGCATGCCAACATGCTAGCATTTGGTTATCAAATAAGACGGTACACATGGTAAAGATTCTGTCTAAACATCGTCATGTTTGAATTGTGGGCATGTTAGTTTGCTGGTGTTAGCATTTAGCTCAAAGCACACTTTGTACATTAGTGAAGCCTTCCAGCGTTGCTAGCATGATTGCAGACTCTTTGTCTGGTAATATATTTTGAATGTAAAAATATTTGGATGTAAACAGTACTGTAGCTACAAATGAAAATTGTCTTGATGTAAGTCCTGTCTGCATTATCTCTCTCTGTCTCTCTCTCACACACACACACACACACACACACACACACTCTTACTGGAGGTGAAGGTGTGGGGCTCCTGCTCTCTCCTTCCTCCTCTTCATCTCGTGTCCCGGGACAAAAGGCTCAACTATAATCTTTAATAATCCACCGGACTGCATCAGCTCATCTGTCTGTCAAACACATACTGTACAGTCCATCCTCCAGCTCCACACCAAAAAGTGTCCCACGGTTACTCCTCCATGAGTCAAACCACTAACTTTTATATATAAAGGAATGAACAGTGTGTGAGTGTGAGTGTGTAACGTCAGCACCTGCTCTTATCTCCACACAGAGACACACACACAGTTATGTGAGGTATCTGGGGTAGAGTGTTCCTTCACCAGCAAGCACGGGCTTGCTGAGTCACAAACTAACAGACTGCCTCAAAACACACACACACGCACACAGTCTGTGAAGCAATGTGCAGACCACACACACACATATTTATCTGAGCTCAATAAGCAAACTCAATCTATAATAATTCCACAACAACTCATTTTGTCTGCCTCTGAATAATCCAAAGTAAGAAGAACACCCTGGCTTTGTCCTCTTGTATGAAAAATTATCCAGAAGTCATTAAGTTCTGCGTAGTTCCATCATGTCCGATCATACAGAGGACCCTGATCATTCAGGTCCAGACTAGTTGGTGGTGGTGGACCATCAGCTCCTGCCACTGATCCATCAGACAAAAAGGCTCGGAGGGACGCTCCCGGCTGCACGTCCCCAGGAGCAGAGTGCCTCCCCTGGGTACAGCCTGCCCAGATAATCCCCCTCAGTTCCTGGAAGCCTCAGCTTGCCTGATAACTGTGATCAGACTGTCGGCTGTGAGACCAGAGGACTGACTGAGTCCTCAACAACCAGCCGTGAGAGGGACGGAGAGACAGAGGGAGGGAGGAGGGTGTGAGAGAGAGGGAGGTGGGAATATGAAGACAGGAGTGAAGCCTGAGATGTCTCAAGTGTTCATACTCTTCATTTAGAGTTTTTATTGTATAAAAAATGGATTTGTTAAACTACTCACTCACGTAGAAGCAGAAATTGTTATTTCATTGTTACATGACTTGTTTGAAGGATCCTTTTTAACCCCTTCCCTTAAAATTCTACCTATGCAGGCCTTGCTTCTTTTTATTTTTTTTTGCACTTTATCATGAACTTTTAGAAATTGGCTTATTTTTTGAATTACATGGAACAAGCTTAATTTCTGATGAGTTTTGTTTGACTTCAAAAGTTTTTTCCTTAATTTAGCTTTAAAATGACTTTTTTTAAAAAAAACAAGCATTTACCTTTAAAATGACTTTTTATTGGCTTTGTAAGATTTTTTTTTTCTAATTAAGAAAAACTTTAGGGTTAAGTTTTACTTTGGGTTTTTAAAGATACTTTTTTGTCTTATTTTAATGACTGAATTTTGATGACTTTCTAAAACTTTTTTTTTTTTTTTTTTTTTTTTACATTTTTTAATTGACTTTTGATACTTTGAAGTCTTTTTTCATGTTTAACCAACTGTAACAAATTTTTGTAGAATATTATTTCTTTACTTTTTTTTAAAACAAACAAACTATCAACCTTAAAAAAGGCTTTAGATATGCTTCTAGGTAATGAGATCATGTTCAGAGCTGAGAAGCCTGTACTGTAAACTGTGACTTAGTCATCTGGCAGCAGGAAATGCTAAAACTTTTTGATACATATAAACTAAGGATACAGGTGAATTACTAGTTATAGATAAATGTATACTTCTACTTATGCACTTTATCTTCCACTTCAGGTATTTTCCTCTGAAAACGTGCAGAAGCTGTAAAGCTCCAGTGTTGATCGAACATTCAAACCTTACAAGGAAACATCTCGCCCTCTCTCTGACACATAGACTGAGGGGACTTTGTCATGATATTATCAGAGCAGCTGTCCTCTCTCTGTCTCTGGTCTGGTTTCTGCTAAGCCCGGGGACACCGCTGACCCTAATGGGCTAAATGCAGCTCACAAGCCAGATTGCTAATTCATAAACAATGGACCAGATCACAGACGGCTCTGACTAGGGTAGGGTTACACACACACACACACACACACACACACACACACCCACACAGAGTTAATGTGGACTGATTACTAAACTGACATAGGAGCAGCCACAGGACACGAAAATGTCATTACACACCAATCTGGACCAGTGTATGAGTGTGTGAGTGTGAGTGTGTGTGTGTGTGTGTGTGTGTGTGTGTCTTATGGGAATCTGTTGCCAGTTTAAAATAAAACCCTGAAGCACTGATTTTCGGTCAGATTTCCCCTAAGGGCTCCTCCTTGCCAACACAACTCTGTTCTTAGTCTTCTTGATAGCCATAAGAGGAACCTAATTGATTGAAGAAATCTAATTGATTTATTTAGTTAAGTTTATGATGATAAATTAAATTAGGAACAAACCCAACAGCAAACAAACATCCTCTGTGTCTCTATTAAGCCCTTCCTGAGCTGTCAGCCTTAAAAAGCCACAGTTCACTCTCATTAGGACAGAACAATTTGTAGTTTTTATATAAAAACAGCAGTGTGAATAATTTATGAATACCATGAGTCATTCTTTAAATCTAGTTTTAATCTAAAAACCTTATCTAATTAAAGTCTAAACTTAATAAGTTGCCAAAAGCAAGTTTTTGTCAACACCCTAAAGACTTTGCCAAATGCCATGGCAACAGTTGTCCGAATCTTTCCTAATTGGACAGCTATGTAACTGCTGTCAATCAATATATCACGTAATGTACAGTAAACAGATAACATCTCTGGCAATATCATTATTATTAGAATACTATGGAATATGCGTGACATATCATAGGTCCACCTGCTGGCTTTTTCTGAGGTTTCTTTGGCTGATGAAGACTGTGAGATGCATCTAAAAGCTCCTTAAAGGCTAGCTAGTGCATGCTTTCTTCTGCACAGTGATATGGTTGGCGGGTGTAGCTCGGTAGAAAGAAAATAGTTCCTGAAACATACAATGCCTATACGTTAATACATGAATAATGACTTTTCTATATTATATGGACTGATGCAATACTGCCATTGGCCATTCCATCAATGGCAGGCTCAATAGAATACAATGGTATCCACTGACACAGCATCTGGCCATTAGAATACACTGTATTAAAGTGATGCTTCTTCTGATAATGTCAGGAGGAGACATGCTTTTCCAATTTTATGATGCAGCTCTTGTATGAAAATATAATCTGACCTGATTTATGTGCACCTGAGAGAGATTAAAGAGGGAAATAGAACCCAAAAATAAAAACACAGCGGTGAAAAAGTGAGAGAGTGAACCAGAGAGGACTGTCTGTCTTTGATTTGACAATCAGAGACAGAAGACAGACCTCTTTTCAGTGCCATCAGTTCCTGAACTGTGTCCATTAAGAAGAGCTGTGGCTGCGTTCAGCAGACAGCAGGATGCCGCCGCTGGCCAACTGTCACTCCCACCGAGTCGACTCGGACTCACAGAGGCTTCACAGCAGCCGACATGCTGCCTTCTAAGCTCACTGCAGAGCCTGAAGAGAACACACACTACCAGTCAATGAACACACACACACACACACACACACACACACACATAGACGCACACAACCCGACCCCTGTGGTTCTAGCCTGATATTAAGAATCTGATAAAGAAGCTCTGTATCTTCAAAGATCTATGAGGAGATGTGGGAGAGATAAAAGCTGTTTTATTTGGGGTTTGGACTCCAGCTACACACACAATTCATACCTCATAGTTTATAGTTTATTTTATATGTGTTATTATTATCATAGCTAGGGTTCAACAGCAATTTAGGATGCTAAAAGAATTGGAAAAACAGAATTTTCTCTGCAAAGCACCTCAGCAAATCTTTGTATAATCAACACAAAAACTGCAGATTTTCATGGCAGGAAACCTGTATAATGTATTTTGTGGAAATGCCTACCATTTTCTGTTGGTTCTTTGTGACAAATACATTTTATTCATTAAAGTTCTGCTCATCTCATTCAATTTCTTAATCCTTGAAACTGTACTGAGGGCCCTTTCTCAAAAATGTCAGGTCTTGCACACTGCTTGTAATAATTGTGCAAGTGCTGTACAAATAACAGGTTAAGCTGATTATATCAGTCATGCAGCAAGTACTTTTACATGCACACCTGGTAATAATCGGGTATGTGAAGTGGCCTAGTCATGTGCTGGCATGTGAACATCATATCCTGGTTTCAGAGGCTTATGTAAGGCCTCAACTGCAGCAGTCACAGTCATGCCTGCAACACCACACATGACAAGAAGCATGAATAACAGCATCACAGGGAGATGAATATCCAGCTTTCTCTATATTCCATGTGAAAAGCATATCCTGAATATGATCAAATTCAGGATACTGATTGTGTGAATGTAAACCTTTCCATCTATTCAGGAACACAATACTAGTAGTATTTGCAGAGTGTAAAATACGGTAATATGCAGCTAAGCGGCTGTGTAATGAGGTCCTTATGGCCTGTATCTCAACTGCAGTGCTGTAAGACCTGATGAGCACCTTATGTGACCCCTGTTGTTGTGCTGCTTATGGTAGCTCACTGAATGACTCCACAGTGAGTCATGATGATTACACCATGATGACAAACTTTGTATTTCATCAGTTCATCAGAAGCACTGACTTTTGTTTCCAAACATGTAGAACTTTTCCAGCACTGGACAATAAATTAGCTGCCTGGCACACACATACACACAGTCTGTTATAAATAGGTCTGCATCTTTACACAGTGGGATGCTCAGCTGTTCTGGCACACACACACACACACACACACACACACACACACACACACACACACACACACACACATACCTGGACTCAGTGGCTTTTCAACTTTGTCCTTTAACCCTTTACTGGAAGTTCTCTCTGTAGAACTTGATAAGGATTAACAGCTGAAGCAGAACAAACACACACGGAACATGGTTTCCTAGTTATATTTAAAGGACTAGTAAGTCATTTTTATGCTAATAACAGTACGCACAGTCAAGATTCTGATTAAAAACACACAAACAGTAGTATTAAACTCTTGCTTAGAACTGCACACCAGGCAGAAACTCCCAGAACCCCATCGACAAACAAAAATGTTTTAAGGTGAACAGAAGCATCTCTTTTGCTGCTATTCACAAGACCACACCTTATACGCACTCATGGTGTGCGTATCTGTGTTTGGTTCATTGCATTGCACCCTCAAGGCTTTCCAAAATTTTCATGATGACACCTCTGGAAATCAACAACAGCAATAACAAAACAGACAGGACTGCCTCTGATTGGTCAGAAGACAGAGGGGATGATGGGTACTTACAAACTGCCTCGTCTGGGAAGGCTCAGCTCCTTCTGAAAGAGAGAGAGAAAGACGGAGATTTGTTAATAATTACAATACATCACTTTTCAGCTAACCCATTAAAAATATCATCATCAGTCACACAGTGATGTAATTTTATCAACAACATACTGCGCAGCACATTTGTCGTGAGTACAGCTGTTTGACCAACAGGTGTCACTGTGACATTACTTCACAAAGCAGCTTCAACATTAGAACTCATGTTTTTTTTTCCATCACTGAAGTGTTCAAAGCCTGTTATTGTACTTAAAAGCTACAACAATAACACAAACCCTGTTTTCTCTTCACATATCCTCTCATCTCTTACTATGAGCCAGCTAAGTAGGAATCCCAACTCAACATCTGGAACTCAAACACTACATTAAAAAAAAAACAGAAAACCTCATAGCCGCTAACAGAGGCGTAAAAATTCTGCTTGAAGTTCTTCACTTTGAATTTGAGCAAACGGTATATTCCATAAGTCGATGTGTCTGTCCATTTCTACAAAGCAGTATCATTTGTTTCACCTCAGCTGCACTTTCTGCAAGCAACCACAAGAGGGCAGAGGAGTATCATCATAGACATCAAGCACTTAACAGCAATGACAACTCTGCTGCTTGATTTCTTAACAGTCAATGTGCATGACAAACAACCAGCTACTTTGAATCTGAATGTTTGAACAAGGTCCTATTGTCAAAAGTTTTTACTTTAGCTGGTAGTATTTTCGTGTTGTAAAATGTATGAATTTTGGAAAGTCTAAAGACATGGAACACAGAACTCATATGTACACAACCTGCAACCTGACAGCACCTTCAAACTTTCTGAGAAAACAGACCACCGACATAGAGACCTCCTGGAGAGCACCATCTGGCCAGAAGCACCAATCAGTTTTTGTGCATGTGTAGGTGTGTGTGGTTGAGGTACATGAATGCTAGGTTGCCAGGTTCCCAAAGTAGGTCAACAGCTGGTTTCACTTTGAAAAACATCATTAACACCTTCATCAGCATCAATCAGTGTTAACAATACAGCAATACCTCATTCAGACTTAACAGGTAACACACACACAAACACACACACAAATTTAAACCCCTTTTTTCCTATATTAATTCATTTCATTTTTAAATGTCAAGCTTGCAAAGAGTAACTGATTCCATTATTTATCCCATTATTTTCTCAATTAATGATAAGCTGAAGACAGAAAATGGTAGCCAAGATCAAAGTGATTATTAAAAAGTATATTAAAAAAATAAATAAAATGAATGAACTAATTGTCAAAAATGTTGCTGATTAATCCTCTGTTGACTGATTTATCAACTAATTGCTGTAGCTATGAAACTGATTGAGCTGAAGTCTGCTGCACTGATGCATACAAGTGCAATTTTACCGAATGTAAAAATGACTTTCCTGATCAGCTATTAGTTTGCACATCAATGAGAACAAATAACTTCTGGGTAACAATAAGAAGTCACACCTTGTTCATTTCTAATCATTACTGAGTCTTATATTTATGTTTCACTGGTGTTTAAAACAATATGCTGCTCTCTGATTAATTAGAGGACCTCACAGTGCTCACTGAGCACGTGCACGACACTCAGCAGAGAGAGAGATGGACCTTTTGGCTTTGTTTCTGACCTGTTTTTATCACTCTATCACACTTTCTGTCTGTCACACACACTCTAAAACACGCACACTCTGTATTCCTGCGTGGGACGGCTGTGTCATTGGATTCTCCTCGATCACCTCACATCTCTGTGTGCAGATAAGCTAATGGACATAATGGAGTTTAGTTGGAGCACAGTGAGTGGGTGAGTGGCTGTATGGCAGAGGTCTGCAGTGTGTGTGTGTGTTTGCTATGATAACATCAATCAAAATGTTGCTAGTTTTCATTTGGCCTCCCTAAAACAGAACAGAACAGAACAGAACCAGTGAGATGATGTGTGTGTGTGTGTGTCTGTGTGTGCATGAGTGTGTTCCTGTCAGTCAGACTGGACCCAGTGATTCTATTAGTCCTGAGAACAGATGTTGTGCAGACCCAGAGGGACGGGAAATGGCTCCAACTGCACAGGAGGAGGAGGAGGCGACCTTTTATAATCCCCTCTGCTGTTCCCCTTCTGAGTGCTGAGTTTACACTGCAGGTCTTAACGCCTTGTTACAGTAGAGCAGTGACAGTCCACCTGTTTATCCACTCTAAAAAAAATGTCACGTCTGATGACACTCAAAACAATGAGCCAACTTTAAATGTGACCTGAGCCTTTTATCAGAGACAAAACACAAACAAGACAGAGATAATAACAGAAGATGAGGGGGAAACACATTATGATTATTGACTTAAATGTCATGATTTACCAGATGAGTTCCGCTTCACTGATTTCACACATAAAGGTCAGTGTACCAGACATGTGGAGTAACTACTCAGACTGTGAGAGACAGAGTAGATGTCTTTTGAAAATATTTAACGATGTAGTTGTGTATTTTTGTGGTAAACCCATATAAGTAACAAATCAATACTCTCAACAGTGTATTTCTACAGGTCTTAAGACTGAAATCTAGAACAATAAAGGCACAGGTGTTGGGCGAAATTTAATTAAAAAGAAAGAATAACAATAAAAAAGTTAAATATGTTCTAACTAAAAAAAACTGACAGAGGGCTACAAGCAAACATAAAAAATACTGTTAGTTCAACAGGCTCTTTAGACTCTTACCCACCCTCTTCTTCATCACTCTCACCAACCTCTTAACCTCTCTCTCATTACCCATCTCCCCCCTCTCTCCCCCCTGCCTCACCTCCTCAGTTCTCCTCTCCAGTCTGGCTGTTAAACACACAGACACACACACAAAGAAAATGAACGAGATGGGGGAGAGAAAATGAGTGCCGGTGTGTTTAAGTACTTCATGCTTGTATTATGCATCCTCCCACACAGAGCTCTGTAATGTGAAATGATGCTCGTCTGAAACTCTCATCTGACAGTTTATTGCATTATACTGTGTGTTTTTGTGTGTGTGTGTGTGTTGCAGCTGAGCCCTGAGGGAGGATGTTCAACCCGAAGCCACCCTGCAAAAAATAGCCCAAGAGGGAAAATAAGCTAATGCCCGATATCAAAACACACACAGTATACTGTACACACACACACACACACACACACACACACACACACACATGCTGCTTGTATTAAACAAGCCAAACAGGCACAAAGAGAGCTGTGATGAAATTATCCCCAGTGATGGTGAGGATAAGAGGAGCAGAACACAAAGCCTGAAGCAATCTACCCGATGGAATACAGGCTTAGATAATATGCTTTATGGCTGACAGAGAGGGAGACAGAGGGGTTGGGAGGGTAATGTGATTAGAGAGATGGAGTGAGAGAGGAGAGGGTGAGTGGAGGTAAAGAGATGTAGGCTAAAAGGTAACAGCTACTAAACATGTAAAGATGTGAAGTCAGAGCCTGGACTGCTAATGGAGAGTGTACTGGTCAAAGACAAAGTCTTGATTTTATGACTCCTACATATGTCTGGCTCTGCCCACACAAAGTAACATGATTTGTCAAACCTCATGTGAACAACAAACATAGTTTCCCGACCAACAGTACATATCCTCCTATTCCTCCTCGAGAAAGGCCATTTCTTGGTTATGTACACGTTACCACGTTTCTAAGGTGCTTTTTAGAAGAGAGAACATGCAGGACGAGAACTCAGACAGTTTCTAGGGATGAGCAAGTGCACCACTGACTGTATCTGCATCTATTTAACCAATTAAATGATCTGTATCCATATCTGTGCTCAGAATGGGCAGGATTTAAACCATAAGTAGGTGCAACTTAACCCAGAAATGGATGGTACCTAACCATGGATGTATAAACAGACCTGGTTACAGTGTTGGAGGCAGGCTCCTGTTAATTTTTATGAAAGTCGTTCAGTGGCCCATGAAGCCCAAAAGGTTCTATTTCTGCAGTATGAAATTACAATCGGCACAGCTTCCGCACCATTGGCCCATAGGGCCCTATGGGCCAATGGTGCATAGGGCAAGCGCACTAGAAACTTCTGCCAGCCAAGTGGGCTACTTCTGATTTAGCGCTCTACTAACTTGAATAGGGACAATATGATTTAATCTTGCGTCTTTTCTAGACTTTCCCAATGTTATCGGTCCAAATGGTTTAAATTCTGATTGTGAAACAAGTCATTTCTTAGGGGTTGTGATACTTAAAAAATGTATCCACTGATTTCCAGACATCTCTTTCCCAATGTAAGTCTATGGGAGAAAGTGTTTTTGGACCTAATGGACTCAGGAGTTGTAATTCCACTGCTTGGCCAATACAAAAATTGCCTTCAAAGCCCAGTGCACTTCCTGGGAGCCTGGAACTGTCCAGAAGTTTTTATTTTAAGTCTGAAATT